GGCCTGGGGTGTGATCTAAGTCTGCTGTGCTAGCCCACTGCCCAGAGCGGTGGGAGGAAGCTTCTGGGTCTCCTTTCTTCACCTGTAACCAGACGGTAGTATTATTGCCTTGGTTACTATGGAGTCACAAGCGTGGTACACAGGTGTCCAGGAACGTAGCGCCATGCATGCTTCTGAAGACATGCTCATGTATGTTTGTCTCAGCAAAAGCACGACAGCCAAGGGATTGTTCTGAAGGGATTCTTGTGAAGTTCCGTGGCATGGGTACATGGATGCTCTACTTACTGCGAATCAGTCCTAAGATCTTCCTCCCTTCCTCCTGTCTTTCCTCTCCTATGCCTGTGCATCAGTCCCTCTGAACGAACCTGTCTGCTTATACAATTATCTGTGAACACACATACCCCATCCATCCATGTACATACACACCCACCCATCCATCTACATACATGCACACCTACCCATCCATCCATGTACATACACACCCACACATCCATCCATGTACATACACACCCACCCATCCATCCATGTACATACACACCCACCCATCCATCCATGTACATACACACCTACCCATCCATCCATGTGCATACACACCCACCCATCCATCCACGTGCATACACACCCACCCATCCATCCATCCACCTACCCACTCTCCCATCTGTCTACTTACCTACTTCATCCATTTGTTTACACACACACACCTCCTTGTCCGCACGTCTACGTATCCATCCATCTGCACGCACACCCACCCATTCACCCACTTGCCACTCTGTGCCCCTATCCATCCCTCCATCCACGTAGACACCTAACCATCTAACCACGTAGCCCTCCACGCATCTGTGTATCCGTTTCTGCACTCCTCTCACCCTCTGCCCACTTGCTCATGTAACTACATACTTATCCGTCTACCTTCCCACTCCCTCATCCACCTATGTCCTTACTCATCCATCCCCACCTATGTGCCCACCCAACCATCCACCTGCCCATTGTTCCGGCCATCCCCTGCTTACTCCCCATGCACCCATCCATGGCCTCCTTGCCCTGCATTCATGAACACATGCGTCCACTCCGTCAGTCCTGTCTCATTTATTCAACATGCCAGCCGGTCTTCCATTGCTCTGGGTTTCACAAACACGGTGATGCCTACGTACACGTAGTTTACAGTCTCACAGATCAGTAGCCTGCAGGAAGATGGACGACTGAACAGGACAGAGTCTCAGTCGATGAGCACGGGCAGAGGGAAGCCAGCCTTGAGACAGTCATCATGAAGTGGCATTCTGGCTGTGACCCGGGTGGCTGGTTGTTGCTCAGGCCCTGGAGGGAGCAGGTGAAGGTGGAGAGTTCCCAGTGCAGTGTTTGGCCATGCTAGAATCAGACAGATTAGGCAAGCTAGGGTCTCCTGCACCGAGGAAACAACCCCAGTCCTGTGTAGAAGCTCAAAATAGCTAAGGATTCCAAATAGTTCACACCGCTCAGTTCCCTGAGTCTGATGGGCCTCTCCTCTGAATACACATCATCTGAGATATTTCTGCTGCGCCTGCAGGGACAGGGCTAAATCATGCACTGGCTCTTTTCTTGTTTTTTTCAAGACAGAGTTTCTCTGTGTAGCCCTGGCTGTCCTGGAACTCACTCTGTAGACCAGGCTGGCCTCGAACTCAGAAATCCACCTGCCTCTGCCTCCCAAGTGCTGGGATTAAAGGCATGCGCCACCACTGTGGGGCATGCACTGACTTTTAAAAGCAAAGCTTCTGCCCTCACATGAAGGGTCCCTTTCTTGCCACATCAGCTCACGCTCATTGGCTAAATCACCAAGCTGTGAGTGCTTGTACTGTGCATTGGAAGGAATGGGGCTGGGAACGAGCTTGCTGGCAACGGCGAGACAGGAAGGCCCCAGGTTAGTATCAGGAAGGTGGCAGCAGAGCCCAGGGTAGGCTGGGCTTGACTCTCATCCCACGATCAGTTGGATCTTCTGAAGTTGCGTGCTGGGATCAGAAGTGCCACATGTCAGTGACAGGGTGTAGCCAGGGCTTTGCTCCCGAAGAAAGAGTCTGTCTCCTTTCTTAGATGCTGGATTTTTCTTGGAGACTGTGGCCTTAACCGTGTCCGTGCTTCAGACTGATTGGCCCTCCTGTCTACCTCATACATGGACTATATGATCCCGCCAGGCCACCTAGATAGTCCAAGGTGATCTTGCCATCACAAGAGCCTTGATGATACCATCTGCAGAGTCCCTTTACCACCATAGGTGTTTGGCCTATGCATGTCTTTGGAGCCTCCCTCCCATCACTCCTCCCCAGTACTGTGATGTGTTAGAAGTATAGACAAGGCTGTAGATCAGGAATGTGCTGGAGCTGGCCCAGCCTGGTTCACACTTACTCATGAGAGAGAGCCATGCGTCTCCTCGACTGAGCTAACTGTAGAGATTATTTACACCAGAGACAACAACACATGCCAAAGCTGGGGCTTTTTTTTTACATCAGAGAGCCTTTTTTTGAACATCTGCAAGGTATTGGCACCATCCACTGTTGCAAACCCCATGGCTCAATGTCATGAGATCAGATACTGGGTCAGTGCTGACCAGAGCCACAGACCGTCAGGGAGTGTTTCTCTTCACAGGCCTCAGAAGGCCTTGTCTCCTCGGTGACTGGCTCACATCTAGGCTGTGATCAAGGCTGGTACTTGAGCCTGGGTCTTTCTGATACTGAGCTCTGATAGATCTAGGCAAGGAGTTGGAAGCTTGTTGTAGGGGTCATTGAGGGAACCCCAGGTGTGACAGGATTCCTGAGCAGTCTGGACAGAACAGAGGCACTAGTCCACTCACCAGTATCACCTTTGGCCAATTCCCACAATCCATCCATGGTCATTCAGTATGCATAACCACAGGGAAAGTACTCCAGTCGGCAGGGTGGGGACTCTTATACCCAGCAAAACTATCCCACACCAACAGCCATGTCTTCTGTTCTGATTTTGCTCTTGATGGTCACTGCATAATTTTCTAGGAGGCAAGCCAAGGGAGGGCCTCAGGGCAGACGCCGGTGGTTAGGGACTTGTGTGAAGGCCAGTAAGATGGTCTGAGATATTCCAGAAAATGATGACCTGCCATTCTCCTGTTCTTATTGTTACAGGCTGCCAACAGCTACCTGCGAGATCAGTGGTTCCATTCTCTGCAGTGGAAGGTAAGTCAGGCCCCTGCTGCTGGTTTGAAGTGTCTGCATGGGACTTAGAGAGTGGTGGCTGAGAGCCAAGCAGGACACAGGCCTGGAGGTGGGGACTGCTACCTCTTGGGTGGCTCAGAGAGGGTCCTGCTCTTGCTGGAACCTTCTGCCCTCTCCCAAAGGGCTGTGCCTTGTGATAGGAGCAGGTCCCTGGTAGGTGGCTGCTCAGCTTGGAACCACCCAGCTGTTCCCTTGCTCCCAGGAAGCTCCTAGACCTGCTTCCATCAGAGGGAGGACAAAGCTGGGGGGTTCCAGGGAGGCTGGACTCCAGGTTCTAGAAAAATTCCTTTGACCAGAAACTTTGAAAGCTGCACAGTATTTAGCAGGGGTTGAAAATACTGGCTGTTCTCACCAGCCTTGCTTCCTTTTGGTGGACTGGCTCTCCAACCTCACTCCTGTTAGCACCCCTTACAGAAGTGTCGAGCTTCTGGCACTTGAAGAGTGCTGACTTCTTAGGCCCGGGCCAGCTCTACTGAAGTTTCTCTTACGTTCAGTGGCCCAGGTGATGATGTGGTCACAGGGCATGGTCATTCTTTCTTTATGTCCCTGGTGCCCTGAGTCATTACAATGAGACTGCATTTATTGAGCTCCTACTGTGTACTGGTAGCTGGGCAAGATTCCTGCTGTCCATTTCCTCTGTGAAGTTCATTCCTGTCTGCATCAGGGCCACACTGAGAAAGGGGAGGCTCAGGCCCCGGCTGCGAGGGCTGAGGAAGCTCATTGTGATAAATGTTCAGTCAGCTGTGAGGATCAAGGAGGATTTAGGGGTCCTGATTCACCTTTTGAGGTGAATGAACTCCAGGCACACCTGCAAGGCCATGCTCATGACATTTCAAAAGGTAAACAAGATAGAGGTACAAAATGGGGTTTTAATTTTAAGCCCATGCCATATTTCTAGCACTTGAGAATCTGAGGCAGGAGGATTGCTGCCAGTTTGAGGCTTACAAGGAAGTGAAGTTTCGAGAGACTTGGGTAGAAAGATGATTTCGGAGTTCTAGACTAGGATTACATCTGGGGTTGATAAAATTAACCCAGAGCTAGCCAGGATATCCTTGGGTTTCTAGCAGTTCTATGGACCTGGATATTTGATCTCGATTCTGATGGCATCTCGTGTCTTTATGATCACTAAATTCAGTCAGTGAAAACTGTCTTTAAAAGCACCTGGGAAACCTAAGCCAGAGGTATCTATGGATGGCAGTGGCCTCCTCAGGCGTTATCCCTTGCTCCAGGGTGACCTTCCAGAATGGTGACCTTCATACCCACCATACAAGCTTGTGTGAGATGTTAAGTGTCCTTCCCCTGGGGCAGTTGGGCCCCTGATGGTTTGGGTATGCAGCCACCAGGTGGCAGTGGTCTCTCGCTGTAGCAACTTGATTTAGTTATAGCCCTTGGAGATTTAGATGTGAGAGTTAAGACCTCCCTTAAGGACCATCCGTCCTTGGCAAAATGACAAAGAATCATAAGATGTTTGTGGGGGGTGGGGGGAATACTTCAGCTAGCAGCGTCAGCTAGAAGTCTTGAATTCGAATCCTTATTTTTTTCCTCTCCTGATCCAGACAGATCTGGGTGTTTGTTCATTTGACTGAATACAGTTACTGAAGTCTGTAGTGTGCAAGGCCTGGCTTAAATACCTCTGTTTGCTGTCCTTTAACCAATATGGGCACCAGGGCTAAGAGGAGCCGAACAGTTTGCCCAGAAATGTACAGCAACTTCAGGCTAGACCTGTGGGTCCATCCTGCCTCCTCTGTCTAACTGCCTGAGATTTGGACTCAGCAGCCCATTCTGGATATGATCCTCTCTCTGCTTCTCCTGAGACAACCACTCTGTTTGTTTGTTTTACGAGACAGGGTCTCACTATGTAGCCCTGGCTGGCCTGGAACTCTCTCTGTAGACCAGGCTGTCCTCAAACTCACAGTGATCCTCCTGTCTCTGCCTCGCAAGTGCTGGGATTAAAGGCATGCGCTGCCACCTCAGGGCTGAGACGGCCGTTCTAACTCTCCACAGGTGCAGGCAACTACTGTGGATCTGTTTAATTTACTGGCTTCTATTTTCCATTTTCATTTTTAACAGAAAAAAAAAAGTTGACAGCAGAACATCAGAATGTAGGACATTTAGCAACCCCAGAACCACAGTTTGGATTTGTGAGTTTTCTGCGTGCAGCCTACAACAGGAAGTATATATAGAGTGTGCTCTTTTTTTGCAGTGTGATGCACAATACTGTGTCTCCTGGTTTACCTTGCCTGGACTTGCCCAGGGCAGTGTCTTTCCTCAGGAGGGCAAAGTTGGATCTTAAAAAACCTCAGCTGTCACCTACAGCATGTGACCTTCAGAATGGCAGGGGTCCTCTGCCCACGGATGCTACTGAGCTCACTTCAGGCTGTCCTGAGGAGCCGGGTGTGACTGAAGGTCCCTTGTAGGATTCTTGTCATTTTTCTTTTTTTAAGTCAGGGAGTTTCTACTGGAGTTTCCTTGTGTGCGACAACCCCCCCCACACACACTTCACTGCCATCTTTGTCTTCTTGGCTGAGGGGTTCCCTCACCACCGTTTTCTCCACCTGAATAGATTCTCTTGAGCCAGCAGTTAGTTGCTCTGAGGAGACCATGAGGCTAGCATAGTAAGTCCATGCACCCGGAGTTCTTTCTGTCTCCCTCCTCTTTCCCTCTCTCCCTGGAAAGAGCTCTGCTCTTGCCCACAGCAGCCTTGGTCAGGGGAGTCCAGGGATACTCCTGATTCCATGATGGGATGGAGGACCAGTACCTTCTATACTAGGAAAGGGCTGGGAAAGAGATGTTCTGCCCTACTTGAATCCCCTGGGAGCCCAGCCTGCAGTCCCAAGAGCTCCCTGGGGAAGCTGTCTGTTTGGTTTAGGCAGTAGGCCCTTGAGGCCAGTTCCCTTGGGTGTGGAGCATAAACAGTCATACAGAGTTAATGAGGCCTCTGTTCTGACTCAGAAGCTCCTCTTTGCTCCTGCCCAGGCCCTCAGAGGCCAGGGTCTGCAGAGATAGCCTACGTGTGCCTGAGGCTTCGAGGGAACAGCCTATCACATGTATAAGGCCACCAGTGCATGGTCCATTCCGTATATAGGGAGACAGACCCTTGTGTGTGTAAAAGACTCTTAGGGGAGACAAGTTGAGAGGATAGATCCTTCTGTGTACAAAGCTCTGAAGAGACAGGCCTGTTGTGTTGTGTTATATACAAAGCCATAAAAGGAAAGGCGTAGCTCGAGTTCAAGGCCCAAAAAGAGAATGACCCATCCAAATTTATGTTACTATGAAGGGACAGGTCCATGGTGGGCTCTAAGCCATGTGTGGAACAAAGCTATTAAGGGACAGCCTAGGTTGTGTGACACTCACTGTGTTCCAAGCTGCTCGCGAGGGCATGACGTGTGCTTATGAGAGAAACTGGCCTGGTTTTCTCTCTGGGCTCCAGAGACAAGAGGCTCCAATGTACATAGCCGTGAAAGGCAAGTCTGCCTAGACACCTCAAGAAGTAGCTAAGGCGGGGGTGTGGTGTGGTGAGGAGGGGTGGTAGAGGAGGGGGAATGATGGTGAGCCCTTAGCCGGGTCTGTTGTGCTCTCCTAAACAACTGGGACCTGAGGCTCAGCCTTTGCTTCCTGGTGTGGTTGGAGGCCACTGCACAGAAGTCGTAAAATTCACAGTGATTGCATTCTCCAGGGAAAGTGAGTCATTGAAAACACAACAGGCCCCAGGGGACAGGACAGGCAGGGTGTGACAGAGGCTGGCCAGCCACAAGTGCATTTGGATAGACCTGGCCACGGCTGCTTACTTCTCCCCGGCAGGCTTTCCCATGTCCCTGGAAGGTGGTATGACCTCACACCACCCGTCTTCGGACCACTGTCCCTCCTCTGCGCTTTAGAAGAGGATAAAACAGAAAATGTACTATGGAGTATGAGGGAGGCCATTGTATTCATGTGTTGGTGGTGGAGAGTGATTTGACACACCTCAGTTTTCTTCTCTGTGAAATGGGATGGCAGTAGCACCTCACCTACTGTGCTTTGTGAAGATCGTAGAGCCTGTCGTTTCTGAGGGAAGTGGAGTGGGTCCTGGGAGGAGCCAATTTCCCACCACCCTCCAGTTCTCTTCTGGCCTCAGCCGTGTGTCCCGTCAGACCAGGAAATCCTCACAGAGAGGATTCTCTGCCAGTGTTGCCATGCAGTGTCTCCCAGGCTCACGAGTACCTCATGTGCACGTTTCATGTGCACGTTTTACACACATTTCTTACCTTGAACCTCAGGAGAGTTTTTTGAAGCCTTCGTCACTCGTGCCTAATAGAAGAGGGGGCCAGAACCCAAGGGAACGATACATTGCCAAGGACAAATGACTTCTTAGAAGTACACTAGGCAGTTGCCATGTAGTGAGAATCGACCCATGATGTGTACGGATAGCCACTGTCAGGGATTCCTGCACGAGCTCTTTGCCGCTCATACTATCAGGAGTACAGGACTCTTATCCTACCTTCTCCACAGGGAGGGGCCTGGCCTGTGCCAGAATTACTGGAGGACCAGGTCAGAATGACAGAGGCCCCAAGTTGACCCCCTCTCCCATCCTGCACCTCTTGCTGAAGGCCAAGCCAGAGCACTCCGGGCTCGGGAGTACAGGATGCCCCAGTGACTCTCTTACCCTGGCTCGCTCTCTGTCTCTCTCTGTCTCTCTCTGTCTCTGTCTCTCTCTCTCTCTCTCTCTCTCTCTCTCTCTCTCTCTC